GTTCCTCAGGTACAGTACCAAACCTGCCAAAACCTCACAAAACCTGCTGTTTGAATGTGGCCCGGCAGGTTTTGGGTAGTTAGGGTTAATATACAAATACAAGGGGGCCTAGCCAGTGAGGGGGAAGGACAGTATTTTGGGGATAAGGAGAACCTTTAACCAAAAAGGCTAGGAAAGGTTTCTAAGACCTTGCAAGTGAAGCAAACACATAGCATAGTCTGATACTATTCACCAGTGTACCCTTAAGGTTTTCATACCTGTGGTATCCACTTTGGGGATACAAAACTTGTGGCCTCTATCACTTTGAGTCCAGTGCCCGATAACCTGTTAATCAGCTCCACTTTCGTTTCTGTGCCAACAATTTCCTGTAATGAGGAACAAGGTAAACATTCAATATTACGGTACCTGGAGAACAGCTGCAAAGAGGATATTTATCTATTTGTTGGAATCACACTGACTGCGGCATGTTGGTCATTTGACAAATCAATGTTTGCCATTCGTATGAATATGAGCCGCCCCCTTCTTTATGAGTTGATCAATAACAATTTACAGAATCTTTTTTAAGTGACAGGAAACGTAAACAATGAGTTACATGACAAATGAGACACCCGGCTAATGGAGAAAACAAAAATCAACAAACTGATAAACATTTTACCTTGGCTTTATACGTCTTACCTTCTCATTCTGTAGCCCGTCTCGAGGTCCAACCTCCACAATTTTCACAAAAGATGGAAGAGCTTCCCTCTAGCAGAGCAAGATAACATTTCAGATAAACTTTTAAATTATCATACCAAAAGGTGTCAGCATGAAATAACAAAACAGGTTGCACGGCATGCACAAGAGTACACACCATCATGGTAAGTTTCAGACAAACAATGTGCCATCATGGATGTATCCAATCAGATTGCAGCATGCTAATGAGTACACACCAGGTCATATGCCTCTGCAATGGCCTATGGGCCCTAAAAAAACGGAGAGCACCAATTTCCAAATATAAGAAGGGAAAATGCCACAAAAGGCCAAACTAGCAAACTCAGCATGCTCAAACTTATAGTAACAGTCCAAAAGCGTCTCACATGTTTGCAGTGATACATAAATTAAAAACAGACCAGGCTTAAAGCATAAAATATTTGCTGTGAAGGTCTTCTCACACGTCAATTTAAAGAGCAAGTTTAATAACTTGAGTTTGTTCAGATGTTGAATATCAACATGTTGAACATTGTTTAAAAGTTGAACGAGTACTCCCAGAACTGTGGGGTCCGACGTCCGCTCCGCTCCCACGTTCGGACCCCACACTTCACAGTTCTGGGGGTATTGATATTGAGCGGCCACGACGGGTAGACCTAAGTAGCCAAAACATGCTAAGAAATGCCTCCAGTATCCATGCAACTGCTGTTTGGTCCAGTTTACATCTTCGTACATTTATTTACAACACCTCAACATACTTACACTAAATCTAGAATTAGATCGTTTCACAAATTGGCATGGATTAAGCTGTAAAATCCTCCGAAATGAGCGAACCCCGGGGGCTGCCATGTTGACTATTGACGAAGCAGCGCCACCAATAGTTCAAGCCACCTTTCACCATATTTCCATCCAGAAATCCCATTGGTCCAAAGTTTCTTTTAGAGATTTAACTGTTTCCAAGTTAACCAACTTGTGACGAATTTCATTGGTCTAACAGACAACTACCATTTCATTTCAAAGGCAGCTAACCTCACAGTTGGACTTGAACAGAATCAAATAATCTCATTAATCTCAGATTGAGGTAGGGGCAAGGGGTGGGGACAAGATGAAGAAACTACGAGGAAAGGGGGGGGTGCATTCTGTTTTATAACACTTTGGCAGAAATCAGTATAAGTGGTTAAGTGACGTGGTCCTGACCAAATGTTGCTACATCTTTTGAAAAGTTGTAATAGATGCATTCTGATGACAGTTCTTATGTTCATGACAAAGAAACCAACTGAAATAGTTTCGTGAGAATGAAGTTATCGCTGCATTGCTCAGAATCATTCTGATATTTACTGATGCTTTATTCAGTTATATTCACTACATTAAACAATTTTACTTATAAATATCCAAATGGTATCAAAGGAATGCGATTGAAATCATAGCAATGCGGCACTTATAATCCAGAATAAATAATGTGACAACAATAAACAAATAAGTATTTCAACATTAAGAAACATGGTTCCCATTACTTTGAACTCCAACCAAAGAATGAATCCATGCAGGACTTTTCAAATAATGTAGATACATCTTGCAGAATTAATACACAGAACAAGTCATTTTTAGAAATGCTCAAGACACTGTTTTATCCATTAGATATACATCAAGTTTTCAATGTATAGGGATTTTTAACTTCTAGCTGAGTGAAAAAGTTTCATTGAAAAAAAAACTATTGTAATGCAAAGGAATTGGCAGGGCTGATGGTAAACAAGTGTTCTTATTTGTTTGGCGGAGGTGTTTCTTACCGCTTTCAAGATTGTCTGCTGGTTAATTAAAAGCCAACAACGCATGACCAAAAAAACCACAGAATTGCCGGTGACCCTCTTCAACACTTCAATTTGATACAAAAAAATAAACAATACAGAACATCAGCTCAGTACAACAGAAAAAATAAAGTAAAATCTCCAGTGACTTCTTCAGATTTACACGCATACATGTAAATAAAACTAAGTTTACTGCAGCAAAACAAACAAAATACTTCATAGCAGCCAAAGTTTCCTCAACTTAAAGTCGCAGGCAACGAAAGTTTTCACTTTTTAAACAAAACTTTAGTTACTTGTCGACAGAGGGCGGTAAACGCGACGACCAGTCCTCCTGCTGGTGTTTTTATATGTGACCAGAAGAAAAGCGGGATGACGTCATTTGTGGCGCGTTTTTGTTGCATGTCGGCGCATACGAACATGTTGCGTGTTATCGATCAGCTGGTTGTTTGGTGAGCAGTGACAACTTGCTGTTGGACCATAGACCTGGAGGCCTCGCATGAAGATTTGTCTTCCGGGGAGGCATTGTATCCCACGAAATTATGCCGAGTGCTTCGGTGAACTTTCAGTCTCTTATCATGGAAAGCATTTGCAACTGGATTATTCACTCTGCAAAATAAAAACCACACACACAACGCCGACCATCTCTCACTTTGGCCCCCACTTAGCAGTGCAGTGTCTGTGAGCATTCTAGTGGGGTCTGCGTCAACCATGTGCCCAGGCTAATCCACATCTGACAAACTGGTTAATGTCTTCTGTGACAGACGTCGACATAGGCCTAGTGAGCGTAGCATCTTACCGCCAGTTCTCTGCAGACTGTGAACCACACGATGCCATTGTTATCCTCGTTCATCCAGAAATGTTCAGTTCATGACTAGGCGTAGTAGGGTTAATGTAGTGCCATGCCAGGTGGTTCCGTGATCTCGTGCTCGGGCCTGTGACTCGTATGATGATGCCACATTCCGAGGCAAGGAACCCAGTTGTGAACTTACAGTGAGACACTACTGACATGTTCACATCGGTCCTGAAACTATTGGTCTGGAGTAACAACATGTTGATCAACAGTTGAGATTTCTTCACCGCCACTGAAATTTTTGGATGGGATTGCTTTGATTAGTGGGGAGTGCTCAGTGCTGACAAGTACGATGGCCTCATCAAGGATTGCCAAAGGGAAATCTTTGAAGCGGACGGGGTCTTCCAGCAAGCTGAAGGACCTGCCTCCTCCCGAGGCTCCCCAGGAGCGGAAGTATAAGCTTGAAGACTTTGAAATGTTGTCGATAATTGGTGAGTCAATCTAACCTGAGTTTGTTCCTCAGAGGAATTCATGGCAAACTTTTCGGAGATTGGTGTTGGAATCAGCTGACCTGCCTCTGCTCTTGCCCTCCCAAAGGAAGCTTTTAAAATTTATCCTTTAATTAAAAGTGTCCACTGAAGACAGAAGCAAATGTGTCTAACCCTAAGCCTACCCTGCCAAATACTCTTTTAATCCCACTTGTCAAACCATAGAATACCGTGGAGTAATGTTGTTATTATGTTAAGATGGATAAATAACGTGCATGTGTATGCTAGCAAAAGCTACATGTATGGGAACTGCATGTACATGTATATGTACATATGCAGTGCTAGATGTAAAATGAACACGATTTTCACACTGGAAGAGAAGTTCCAGGTTGAAACATTCATACTTTTTAGACTTTTTAATAAGCATATGCATGTGGCATCATACCTGGCTAGCCTCTCGATTTGACAAACATTTTTGCTCTTCCCTGCAGAGTGGATTGAACCCTGTGAGGTGTATTTAATTAATTTCAGACTACTGTAGGTGTGGAGTTAAATTTGTGTTGAAAGCTGGACGAGGAAGTAGTGATGTAACTTGAATAGTGCAAGAGTTGTCTCCGTGCAGAGAAATCGAGTTTCAGTCTTGTGGCAGGGGACAAATTGAGTTTCTTACTACATTAACACTAAGCTGTCCCCAGAGGATAAGCTAAGTAGGTACCCCAGCAGGGCTCCGCCTGGTCTTCCCTGGCAACCAAAATGTTCTCTGCTGATTGAAATGACACATCAGCTGTCACCAGGAGCAAACAAACCCCTGCCTCTCAGTAGCTCTTCACTGCCAGTCCTGTTGGAAGGGAAGGGGGGGCCTTCAAAATTCCCAGAATTCCTAGTGTGGATTGAGCATACTCAGAGGAACGGAATGCCATTTGCAGAGAGGGTTAGCCAGCAAGGCAACCGGGCAAGCATAGCAGCTAGCTGTGCCTGACACCCACCCCTTTTCCCCTGGTAGCTTTGAGCTCTTTCTTGCATTTGTCCCATTAGCTGGAATATGTCTGGCCAGTCCGAGTTAAAATTGAATCAATTATCTGGATGATTGAGGGAAGCCAATCATGTTTTTCCCAAGTCCTGTTATTAGATTGACTCAAAGTACTTGCTGTTGAAAAAAACAATGGTGTCAAGTAATAATCGCAATTGTAAATATTGTAATCCTTGGCAGGATAACATCCCTGCAAAAGTTGAATTTACATAAATTTCAGTTAATTTCTATCTGTTTACAGTTTGTGTGCAACACAAGTAATATTATGTCCGTGACCCAGCTTTTAAATGATGTGAGAAAGTACAAAAATTTTAAAGGGGGATTTTAGCTTCAGTTTCCACCGATTACTCACTAAGTCCAATTACTTTCAGAGCCTGAACAACATTAGTAGAAACTCCAGTAACTGTTGCGTTGTACCATAGAACACCTACATGTACACTTGATGTAGTATGGTTCACGAACTCAGAGCAAAGATCTGATCATGAAGGCAATAACCGTTTCTGTCAAGACTGCCAGAAGGCGAAGCAATCAGATTTCAAAAACACTTCCGAGAAATAGCCTCTCTGTACTTGAGCAAATATGCGGTGAATGAATCATGCTTAGACTAGGTACAAGATGACCTGGATATCAACAAGGACACAACAGAAGCTGTGTAAGAAAAGCAGCTGTGCGCATTCTGTTCATTCATCTTTTTCTCGCTCGTTGTTTTCGTTGGTGAAAACACAAAGCAACAAGCTGATACTCAACCTCTTAAAAATGCTACAAAAACTCCCATCAATTGGTGTTCAGATGGACCTGGATCCAGTCACCTTGAAAGCCTCACGGCTGACTTCACTAGAAGCATATCTTCTTTGACCTTTTGTGACCTGCACTTTGACCTCTGGAGTGACTTGCCCTGCACAGTCAAAAACCCCAGAGAAAGCAGTTTCATTGTTTCACCCCCAACAGCTGTTGATGTGATTTTTCAAAATTAAGCTTAAAATGCAGTCAGTTGAGGCACAGAACTCTTCAGTTGCTGCTTCAGAATTGCATTAAAATGAAAGAAAAAAATCTCAAACAAAACTTAATCAGCATTCCTGGCAGTGTTAGCAGGAACGACAGCGTGTTCACCAAAGACAAATAGTGGACTGTTTTGATAGTTTGTAGGTGCACCAAGGGAAAAGTGCCCACCTTGTTAATGGCATTTTGTTCCTTGAAGCATAGAGTGTTTAAAGTCACCGTGTGTTTTCAGACCTGAGCAGTCAGTTGTAAACAGCCTTTCATAATGCTTGGGATAACGTAATAGATTGTGGTGAATGTAATTGGCCTTTTTTTTTTAATGCACTGTTGGAAACGACCCCTGGAGAATTTGAGATTTCACTCTGGGCTGTATTTGGCTTTACTCATGCTTCACTTGACTTGCGGCATTCTTCAGATGTAAATCCATAAACAGCTCTAACTACCTCTTCTCAATGTGCATCGCCTTTCTGTTTGGTGTAGTGGGGATGGCTCCCTTTCAGAGAAATCATTCGAGCTTGCTTTAGCTGACAGAATCCAGAAGTGGGAGGTGGAGGGGGGGGGAGTGGGACATTGGTAGGATCCAGGGACTGGAGCCAACCATTTTCCTTCCTGGAATTTAGACATACATAATTACATGTACATGTACCAGTAGTCATGAAGTTGAACTGCACTACATGGTTCATTTTTGCAAAGCCAAGGGAAGTTGTCTTAGTTTCTCATATTTTGTGGGTAGTCCGTGACTTAAACACCACCACTGAACACTTTAAAGCCAGCATGAGCAGGTGTAACATGACCACAAATCATATTTCATCACCAATGATTTTGATACAATCTGATTTAGGCATGTTTGTGGAATGTTGCGTTTTCCCTGACCACTGCATCTGCCAGAAAAGTAAACAGGATTAACTAGGGCAAGTTTGCCCAAGCTTAACAACTGTAGCTAATCCACTACCAGTGGCTTATAAAGTTAATCCCCAAGTTGTCCCATGTTAAAAAAGGTATTGATGGCCATGTTTCTTTATAGTGTCATCTCTCTGTGTGTGGGTAATGGGACATATGTGGAGGAATTAGTCAGGTATAACATAAAAACACTAGTTGTTTGGATGTCTGTCACATTTGAGGATGTAAGAAAAAAGAAATTCAGTCCAGGGTTGGGCCTATGGACTTGCTCTTTTAAGTTAATACAGGACTGTTACATACAGTATGTGTGTTACATGCAGCTGATAATAGAAAAATATCAGACTACTCTATGGACATTTCTTCATGAGTAGAAAATTTACCGGAAGGCCTACTCTTTTTCTGTTTGAAGAAGTCCTGAAATAATGTGTATTGTTAAAATTTGAACATGATGTTCATTGAGTCTAGAGATTTCCTTTAAGCTTTATTCAGTGTGATACGAGTCACAGAAAGTGTAATGAGCTTTTTATAACAGTGAACAATTTTTAGAGCTCCATAAATTTGCACATAAAACATTGAGTAGTAGTTACGTGTACTGTCTACATACTGATACGCACTGTAGTCTGCTGTATAGATGTATTCCCTCAAAATACTTGTACTTAGGATATGTTTGTCCTAGAAGCTACACTTCATTAAACTGTGATCAAGCCCCAAACCCTACTCCTGTTGTGGAAGCATGTAGCTTGAAATTCCGGTCCCTAGGGCATTTTCAAGCAACCAAGCCTCATTAATTGTCAGCCATCACAGATGTCAATTTAACAAGGTCCTGACCTCACCAGGGTATGGTGTGGTGTGACAGTTTTGGGGCTAGCTGGGAGAAAAAAAACCCTTATCTCTGTCCCCAGAGGAATGCCCACTGTGTGGTAATTGGTGTCATGGCAACACTAACACACCACCAAGCCCCAAGTGTATATGTACATGTACTGTTTAGCATTCTGTAGCACAAATGGGTCTGCATTTTTCAATCTGACATCCGGAAGTTTTAGAAACAGTGAGGCACATGTACATGTATGTACAGTGTGCATACATGTGCACAAAATCTATGGTACAACAATTGTACATGTACGTTAGTCAGTGTGCCGTACATGTACATGGTCATGTACATGAAGACAGAGAATTGGTGGCTCTTTTCAAGCTGAAAAAAAAGCATGGAACATGTACATGTACATTGCACATACAAAATATCACATGTTGTGTCAACAGTCACTGCAAGGGTGTGTATTTTTCATGTTAATTGCACTGCACAAGTTTTTATGTATGTTATATATCATGCAGGTGTTTGATAAGAGTACCATTTTGCACTGTAAGGAGAGCTGGCCTATGGGAGCATACAAACAATCAATTTACATGCACTAAGATTTCAGTTTAAAACTTGTCTCAAAAATTCACCTTTTTTGAGTAAAATTATAATACTTGTTGGAAGCTTGGATTTATGGTTTGGTTTGGTTTATTGAGTACTCAGCATTCGCAGTCATAAGATAGGTCCTATGGCTGAATTTTTGCTAATTTACAGTTAAGACAATTTACAAAAATGTACAAAAAGACAAGTACATAAATTCTAGCATGAGAACCTGTGAACGAGTTGTTAAGGAGAATTGATACTCCTTGAATCTTGGAAAGATTTGGGAGAGGGAGGGTAATTGTCTTGGTACATGTCAGAGCAGCATCCATTAAAAAAATCACTTCCATTATTTTGCTTCAGTCAATACTACCTACATTAAGAAGCAGTGTGACTTGCAAAATTCCCAACAAAAAATATATTTTAGGAAGGCTGTATTTGTATGAAGTGTACTTCATACGCATTTTAATTTGATGCAATTTATCAAGGCATAAAGTGTTGAATTGAGTATACCTAGTGGGATTACAAACGACTGTACTGACAGCTTGCTGTATAATTGGATGGAAATTTGATCTTGTGTTCGCCGTCAACGACACAGGCTTATTGTGAATGGATGAACAAGTCGTGTCTTTTCTTGACAACGCATCTTGTTTGATTTATATCTGTACATTTTGCCAATTCTTCATGAGGATGTGTATAAACTGGAAATCCGCTTTATATGCTTTTCCTGCTTCATGCAGTGATATTGTAGAATTGGCAGTTTAGTTTAGCTGACGTCATGGGAATATGACACAACTCTTGATATCTTATTTGTTAAATGAATTCTAAATGAGTTCCTCTTAGTATGAGTAAAACATTCTTATTTTTTATCTTTTAGGCACCGGCACTTTTGGTCGGGTCATCTTGGTCAAAGACAAGTGCATGAAGGAGTACATGGCATTGAAGGTTCTTACGATAGCTGACGTTGTGCGGTTAAAGCAGGCTGACCACGTGCTGAGTGAAAAGTCCATTCTCATGTCAATAAAGCACCCCTTCATTGTTAATTTGTGAGTATTTTGGAATTGTTTTCTAAACACCAAACTCAGGGTTTCATCTACTGCTGCAATATCTGTCATCTGTCTGCCCTTGCCAGTCAGGGTGAAAAACTACCCTACATGTACCTTTTCTGCTGCCACATTTCCAGAGCATCCAGTGTTTTTCTGGAAAGAAATGTGGAAACTTGTTTACAAGAATTAAAGATTTATGTAAGTAAAATGTTTATTTGTTGGTCCTTAGGGCAGGTAGATGGGGGGAGTGGCTAGATAGGACACTGACTATAGTTCTGTCTATATTAATACTACATTACACCTTGCAACTTAAATGTTTTTTTTTAAATCATTCATTCCAGTAATTTTTCATACTCAAGATTAGAACTAACTGTGACCATTAGTTGGTCGATGAAAATTGCAACATCTGTACAAGTATCCTGCAACAGCGGATGAGAGGTCTTACAAAGCTATTTGTTGGGTTAAAAAAACAAAGAAAACCAAAGGCCCTACCATGTGCTTTCTTCAGTTTCACTTGTTTACTATAAAACTTTGACCTACAAGCTCATTATCTTACTCCTTAGTTGTTGAGAATAAGGGCTGTAGCCAAATTTCATGATCTAGCCAGGAGCTGGGTAGAAGGTATCCAATCCCACGCTGTGATTAGATTGTCAAACCTGCCCTATCAGATACAGGAAAGATATGGAACACCAAACCTTCTGCAAAGTGTTTCAAGGGAGAAAAAAATGTCATTCGGGAGATTCCATGGATCAGAGGGCTTGCCGCACCACTGATCAGCATAGGTTCGACTTAATGCCATAATCATGGAGCAATACTGCCAGCCATGAGTATTTACCATGTGTTAGATGGAGTGCTTAGTAAACATGTTCAGTGGCAGGTAAACAAGCTATTCAGAGCTCTGTGTCTGACATGATCTGGAGAAGCATTCAGCTTTAAAGGGGCAGTAGCATGTCAGTTTTGATGTTGAAATTAGACCTTACACAATAAACTTTCTTCTTAAGACAACTGATAAATTTAAAGGAGAGGCCCTGGTTGCTTACCAGCCTTCAATTTTTGAAATTTTCACTAGTTTACTAATTGGAATCTATAGCAGTTGCTACTGCTTTACATATACATGTACATACTTTTTCTTATGAAATTTACCCTAATTCGTGATTTTGATTTTTTTTTTTATATATTAATATTATATCTTGACAAACTACTCAAGTGGTGCCCCTCAATTAAGTGAGTGAATTGAACCACAGGTGTGAGAATTCAGCTTTTTAGCTGATTCCTGCTTTTTTGGTTAATATGTTGACCCTCCATTTCAACTTTTTTGTGTGCACCTGCTGTGTACAATTTTAAGTGGCCATTCACGCCTCTGTTGAACAGATAAGAACAGATTAATGTCTTTTTTTCTTCTTTTTATTTTTGCACTTTATTTTTGAGCATACATGTACAATGGTGTCTATGGCTGTGTCCGCAGTGGGCTTCCAGGGCTACAGCGAGGTCTGTTGTCTATGTGTCTCCACACATTTCCAATGGAGTGAAGATCTAGCTCTAGACAACAGATTCGGATGCAGCCTATGTGACCTGTATCCTTCAAAGTGAACAAGTCTGGTTTCTGTAAAATTGATCTGTTGAAAGCTTTGGTCATTCATGGAAGCATCCAGAAACCAATCTCTCATCCTGAAAAGAGCAAGATCTTGTCCAAAGAATGGAAGGACTGGTTGTTGAAAGGAGCTCGGGAAATTGCTGGCCAAAATGGGGCATTAGATGAACAATACTTTCATTACAGTGCGCAGCGGCCCATCGATAATCAGCGATCTTCAACATCACATCCTTAGATTTTTTTTTTCCTCAAAGGCTCTGTGTTTGCTAATTGCTGCCAATGCTGCCATCTAATTTTGCTGGCCAGCGGGTCCTTTCTCAAAGTCAGTCTCCGTGTTACATACCTATGTTGGTTTCCCTTTTTTCAAGGGTTCCCGCACAACTCAATTCATCTGGATCATTTAGTTGTCCATGGAGAGCTTGTGGGTCCTTTCAGTTCATTGTTTGCTTTTGTATCTCGACATTCTGTCCTGCTTTGTGGTAGGGTACCCTTTTCTGGTGCTAGATCCTCATTCTGCTAAATGTACAGTCAAACAGAGCTGATTTTGAGAGGTATGTGACAAAAACTTTGATATAAGAGGAAAACCGAGTGCCTGCAAAGTTCCATAAAGGCTTCAAACGATGTGTACTGACAATTATGTTCAGTAATATCAGTTTGAATAATGAAATCTGCATACTGCTATAGGGAACATTGGAAAACTACTACTCTCTTCATTACATAATTTTTAGGGGGAGGTATTTTTAACAGTCGATACTGGTACACTGTGAGTACTCATGCATTCATCAAAATTGCAAAGAATCCTGATTGCCCAGTCAGGTGCCAAGGTACATATCACAGGGGAAGACCTACAATAGAGACAGCGAGAGACCTGTACAGGTGGGCTTTGGTTGGGGCGTTGCTTAACTGCAAACAGTTTTGAGTCCTTGCTAAGCCTTCGGATACTGCGCTTGCATTGTCTGCGTCAGGCAAGGGATGAGGGATCTTTTGTATGATTCTCCAAACCAGCAGGGTTACGTGCTATAGTCACCTTCTAATCCGGGTATTCTTGCATTTTTTGGTAGAAGTCATCATAAGTGGGACGGAGGGAGGAATAGTATTTTAAGTAGCATCCAATTTGCCAAAATAATGGGAAATGACACAGGCCAGAAAAACTGAAGTGTCAATGTATATGTGCAAGATTAAGGACTTGTATCACAATTGCATAACTTGTAGGCTGATTGAAAATGAACTAAGGATATGATTCATGAATGTAAATAATGTCACACCCGAAAAGGCTCTCTTACTTCTCCCTCATAACAATGATCTGAGATATCAATGTAGCAATCTGTCAATAATGAAGACAAGCTGCGTAGTAAAGGCAGGCTGGTCAATGGACGGGCATGCATTGTGCATGACATATTGATGGGGGTTCATCGTGCATAACCTGTTTGTTGTCTTGCGCACCTGTGTGCATCTTAAGTGGTCATCCCTGTCTGAGTGACTCAATAAATCAATGTGACACCAATAGATTTCCTTGAGCCGGGATCAAGTCGGAGACATGATTCTTTCCTTGAAATGTACGTGCTAGTCATTTTTTGAAGATTCTTTCATATGTAAATGTAATACCTCTTCTGTAGACTATGTGAGGCAAGGCAGCAGTTGACAGCAACAGGAAAGTTTGATCTTCATGTTCAGTACATGTAACTGGTCCACACTCCACGGACAAGAAGGTTCAGGAAGATTTTGACATGAAATACATGTAGACGCTACTGACAAGAAAAAAGGAGTTACACATTTGTGTATTGCTCACTGTACTGAGTTGTAGCATTGTTAACCTTCTGAAAGACTCTGGCCAAATTTCATCTCTCCGGCCATTTCCATGGTCCAAATTCAAATTCTTCTCAGAAATTCTTGGTTTCCCATATGATTTTTTTTATCTGCATGAACCACCAATTTGCACGTAATAATTTTCTTGGTTGTTATTTAAAAAAAACCAGATACTAGGTGCCCGTACACTATGATGACTTAAGAAATGAATAAGGAAAGTTGAAAAATCCAAAGGATGTGATAAGTTGTCTTTACCATATCTTTAAACATGGGTAGGAGGTGATGACATTGGCTTGTAAATCATGGCATCAAAAATGACCCATATGGAATAGTATGTGCCAGAAGGCATTGATAGTCACAGAAGATTGTTACAAGTACAGATTGTAAAAATGGTAAAAATGCCATCTCAGAATGGTGCATTAGTATTTTTTCGCGTGGGAGTTGCCACGTATATGTACATGTACAAGTAGTCAAGTACAATTCATGTGCCATTGGCACCGAGCTTTACGAGACATGGAGGTTGCATGGAGGTTGATGTCTGAAGCACTTGGAGGGAAAAAAAGGAGGAAAATGGCACATGAATCTGGCAATTTTAAGAGATTAATGACACCCATTGGTGATCAATCTTTCAGGCCATTCACATTTTAGATTGGAATTCCTGCTTAAGTAGATTGGCATAACTTTCTTGAAATGACAATGGATAGTCCTTGGTACACTTGGAGCAGCACTTCTTGGGTTTAATGGCTGTCTTGCCTGTGTTGTTGTACTCTAAACCTCTATTTGTCCAATGTCTGTACCCTAAGGGTTGTCATTGTAACTCAGAGAAGTTAATTTATGTGTTAAAGTACCATAAGTGGGAAGTATAAAGGTGTAACTCAGTTCTTCATGCAAACAAATGCTGTTGGACCACTTAAAAAATTGTTGTCTGATTGAGTGGCATGTCATGTTATTTTGTCATGGGTGATTTGATCAAAAGAGATTTATGTTAAAAGTCAGGTAACCGTGTCATTAATTGGACTGGAATGATACTGTTGTAATAAAATTTAAGGTTCTAAGTTGAAAAACTTAGGATGTCAGTTCAAAGCCCATGTATAATGCTGTTGTGTGTGCTTTGGAGCTGTGTTTCATCAATCAACGTATGACATGTTTGTTTTGAGACTGTTGAAATTTCTTGCAGTTAAAACCTTCACATTGATTTCAGAAAAAAGAAATTGCTTATGTGTCCAGCACTGTACTTGTTTTTATCGCAATCAAATTACATGCTTGGCAGTTTGTGAGATAATGCTGTTAGTTTTATTTGACGATAATTTTGAATAGAAGATCAACCTAGTTTTGGGTATCACATGTTAACACCAATTGTTACACTTGGAGCCATGAATTTAACTGGAGAACCCAAAATCCTATTGAATTTTGCTATGCTTTTTTCTCTGCTTTTTGAATACAGATATTGGGCCTATCACAATGACACATTCCTGTACATGTTACTCGAGTATGTGTGTGGCGGAGAACTCTTCACGTATCTACGCAGTATGGGTCGCTTTAAAGCTTCCATTGCCAAGTTCTTCTCATTAGAGATAACCTCAGCAATTGATTATTTGCACAAAGAGGACATTGTTTACAGGGACTTGAAACCTGAAAACATTTTAATTGACCGAGAAGGCCACGTCAAGCTCACCGACTTTGGATTTGCAAAGAGATTAAAAGACAGGTAAGACTGTGTTTAAATATTGCTCACTAAAACAAAGATATTGGTGAAGTTAGACAAACAGGATTTGGGAAAGTTAATGGACTGCCGTAGTAGAGAATTTCTATCAAAACTAAATTATTTGGTCAAATCTTCACCGGGATAACCATCGATCTGTTTCCGGGTCTTCCTGGTGAGTTTGATTTTTGCACTAAACGTCAATGCAGGATGATTACGAAGGCCTTTCATTTAGGTCAGTTTCATGATTTCGGGATGGATAGTTGGAAAGGAAAGGAAATGGAAAGAAATTTTGAAATGCCAACCTACGTGTATAAGAAATAAACTCCAGTCTTATAACTGCCTGCGTTGAAAGTGACAGAAGTTGACTGACATGTTTGTGTCAAATCATGCCAGGCATTTCTGAGGGAACTTGTCCATTTCCCTTCATATAGTTGGGCTGCATTTTATTTCTCTCCTTTTTTATAGGACGTGGACACTTTGTGGCACCCCTGAATACTTGGCGCCAGAGATTATCCAGAGCAAAGGACATGGCAAAGCCGTGGACTGGTGGGCAACGGGAATCCTCATTTATGAGATGCTAGTTGGGTAAGGCTCAGCTGTCAATTTTTGTTGCATGGTTTTGGCAATTTTTTTTTGTTTTCGTTGTTTGTTGATTTTTTTCCCAAAGTTCCTGTGTTTTTAATTTTTTACTCAAATACTATGACAAAATATTAAAATCTAAAAATCATCAGTTGGTGACAATGTTTGTGCTATCTATTCAAGCAGAAATTTTGTTTGATGTGTGTACAGAAGTCCGTAAAATGTGACAAGCTTTTATTTTATAATGTTTGCACTGCCTCATGTTTGCAGACAAGAACTTGATTTCTGATAATTCTTTGACTGGTGCAGGCAATCTGTTCACTAATTGGCATTTAAAGGTACCAAAAGTTCCACACGAGTATGTTAATTTGGAACAAAACTTACTTTTAAAAGGTTCCTATAGTTCTAACAGATTTTGGAGTTTGGAGCGCAGTGACCTGGTTGGATACTCTTTTTTTTCGTCAGATCTCTGTTTGCATGCATTGCTAATAGACAGAAACACCCATAGAAATGTACATCAGAATATTTTAAAATAATTGAGTTGGACAGTCTGGTTAAGTAAGACAAGTTAACGTCCAGAGACATTTACAGTGAGCATTCCAGGGATGCTTCGCCGGCTGAACATGGAGGTCCCTCCTAGCGGACAACCCGCACAATCACAGCCTTAGTGACCAGGGTCAAACAGTTGGTGTGAGATGCAACTCCTCAGCATGTTGCTGCCATCGGAAATTTAAGAGCCAGACATTTATATTATCTGCTGTTGGCATTACTAATCACTGTGATGTCTCAAAGATGGCTGGTCATTTTATGTATCTGAAATTTAAAGTCTAGAATTAAATTGTAAGGTTTGTAACCACTCAAGGGCAGATCCAGGACGGGGCCAAGAGGGGCCATTCCCCAACCTTTTTTGGGGGGGAGGGGGGATTGAAAAGTAATTTTGGGGTCTGTTTCATTTCCCTCCTGTCCAAAAGAATTGAAAAAGCCCCAGTCTCTTGCCTCGTCCCTCTGAAAAGCCATATGAGATAACGTGAAAATATTTCCAAACTTCCCCGTCCTCAAAAAAAGGTTCTGGATCCGCCCATGTAACCAGTTTTAGTATGTTACCCATCATCAATTGGAGAGGCTATTCTCCATGGGCACACATGTACATGCAATTCATGATACATACATACGTACACTAATCTGTTTTGAACATACATGGAAGAGTATCATATGTGATGTGGCAATTGAAGCATTTTCTGTCAGAAAACAAAAACAGCGACCAGAATGGTGTTTACAAGTCGAGTGGCCCCTGTGGACCAGGAAAGGCACAGTTGAGATGGCGGATCCATTAGTTGTGCCTTGAAGGAAGCAGGAGCGGGTTTCACAGATGAAGGGTGAATACTTCCCTTGTGGCTGTCATTGCCTGGCACTGGAGGATTTTAGCCTCCGTCAAAGCACATCATAAGTACGGCGAGTAGTCCGAAGAGCCTCTTTTTTAGAAACTACTGCTTTTTCAGCAGATGCGACATTTGCATCATCGAGTAGCGGCCTGATGCCTGATGAGACAGGAAATGACAGATAAAGTTTCAAGGCACTAACCCCGATCCTGTCAAAACAGTTTGGTTTGAATTTCTGCCGAAAAGAAGTTGCATGACTTTTTCCTGGAATAAAAATTCTAGAATTTTGGAGACAATATATTGAATTAAAAGATCTTGTTTCCAAGACCTAAGGCAAAGCTACCTGTATGTATGTACATGTACATTATGTTAATGTACAGGACACTGTAACAGCATACCGTGCATTAACTGGCCTCTGTACAAAACAGCAGATGGTTGTACGGTTGTGATTGCTGTCATGTACATATAGGCATACATTTTTTGTGAGCATATGCCCTCTGTTATCAAGAAATGACCTCGTCAAACCTGGACCTACAAGGCAGAAGATGTTCCAGACATTTTTGTGGTAATAAGTTGGTCTCAGGAATTGGCAGATGGCAAGATTGCAAGCTGTCATAGGCTTTCCAGAGGAAAAGCCCCTGTAGACTCAGATGCTCCAGATGTTAACTGATGCCAGCCTTAATTCTTGAAATATCAACCACAACCCTGGATTGTGTTTCTGAATTCAAGTCACCAAGGACCACTTCTCTGAACTTGCTATTCATTTTGGAATTCTGTCCTTTTCAGGTAACCGTTTCAGGAATTGTAAGCCGCACAAACCATTTTATGAAATTGAAAGAGCATCCCATAATGCACAGAGAAAAGTATGCACAATATACCGGTTATTTGACATACTAATTTTTTGCAGATTTCATAAGCTGCCTCAGTATTGCATGTACATTGTACTGCACATTTCCATGTACATACAAATTACCTTCAATTCCTCTCGTCCATCACCTACTTTCTTATTACACTGACACACTTTGGCTCAAAGAGACTTGTTTTAACATTCTGGTGAAAAGTCCATGCTTACATGTACCAACTCAAGATGCCTGCTTTCCTAGATAGGCATCTTCTACCATGGCAACAGAGAAATTGACCTGGAAAGTTACCCAATCCTTTGCCCACAGAATCACCCCATGAAATTTTTGTTCAAGCCTCAGACCTGCAATGAAAACATCAGTTGCTGAGTTCTCGGCGGGATGGGGATTAGCCCCAGTCAAAACACGGTCAAAATGGCCGAGGTTGACAGTGGCGGAGGGGGCTTTACCACTTGGACCCGGCTTGCCTGTCAGTTTTGGATGCTTGCTGTGTGCCAACAAGAGAGTGTGAATCTTGATTTTTCAAGTTGATCTTCTTGATTTATGTTTTGATCATTGTGATATGCATGTGTATTTATATGTAGACCATGTTACCAAATATTTACAATGATGTTGAGGAAAACAATATCCCAAGTGTAGAGTTGAGGCAAACTTCTCAGATTTGCTCCTTGTATGAGGAAGTGCTCACTCTTCAAGGAAAAACCATTTTTTTTTTCTGGAACACCATTCCACTCTTCTCCTTGATATTGACTTTTACTCCAGCGGGTGTACCCTGTTTTTGTCAACAATTTTCCATGCTCATTCAACAACACACAAGGTACTGATCCATTCCCCTGGAAGAGTTTCAGCAAACTTTCTGGTCTGATCTAACCACAGCCCAAGGGTACCCAAAAGACAGAGACCGTAACAAAGTAATTTTAGTTTCCCATGTCAACATGCATCCTTTCTGAATCTCCCCTTTCTACATGCTTATCACTGAAGCGAACCCCTGCAGATAGAAAGTGTTTCTAATTTGGGAGCATCAAGATGAATTTGTGTTGATCTGCGTGCAGGGGAGGAAGGACGCTGTCTTATCCCCTGGGGTGGGGACGGAGTTTGACTGTTCCAGGCAAACACTTCGCTCCACACAAATTTACAGCTGAAGTAATACTCTTGTTGCCTCAGGGACTTAAGTGCTTTTTTCAGGAGTAAGATGGCTCGGGCTTCATCCCCCTTAGAAAGAAATTGGTTTTGAGTCATGAAAGGTCCCTGATGGAATGAATAGGGGAAAGATATGTCGAAGAACATCAGAGAGTGGAAACATAACTGGACAGTTTAATTTAGGTTTGTTTGTTTCTTTGTTTTTGTGATTGAAAGAGATAAAACCAGGACTTGATGGTTCATGATATGTTCATCCAGCAGCGCATTTAGTGCCAATTACAGGATAAAGTGACGGTTAAGAAGACAATATAGAAGTGTCCATTTTCAGAGGTGGGAGGAAGCCCAGGATAAATATTCCAGGGAAAACCCACGGAATCAAGCAGGAACTGAAAACCCAATCTACATGATGCTGACCTAGGTGGGATTCGAACCCAGGTCGCAGAGGTGGAAGGCTATGAAAGAGCCACCACACCAACCTGACTCCCCAGCTATTCCGGCTAAATTAAGATTGAAAGGTATGGCAACTGTTTCACTGAAATTTCTGCCACCATTTCTGTGATTAAGAAAGCAAGTTGTCATTCAAGGCTTGAGGTTAGCCTGTTTTTGTTTGTTTGTTTTTTAAATGAAAATACTACAGTTTATAACGTACATGTACACAACGTTTGACCCTGTTCTCATTAGGAGAATAGCTGATTGTCCCACAGTTAACACTTAAAAATGTGCTGGTTGCAATGACACCACAGGAAACACAAGAAAAACTTGTTCCATGATCAGTCAGGGTAAAAACAGGAATTAAAAAGGTCACAAGTTGAATTATTAACCAGGTGGAGTCGTTGAATCTATGATGCACTTGGGATCCAGAGTATTTGCTCTCCGAAGGCGCACATTTGTTTGAAATTCTATCCTAGTGCTAGTGATGAAGCTCATCTCCACTGGAAAAAAAATGAGTTGACTGCATCCGTATGTATTACCGGTACGCGTCTGTGTTCTTGACTCTGTTAATATGACTCAGAAGGCTGAAACGATAAATCCACGTCACCTTGACGCACATGCATTTGTGAGATATTTTGGAAATGTTCTGAACTTCTGGTTAGGATTCACCCCCTTTTGGGGCTTTTTTGGGGCGGGAAGGGATAAAAAATTCCCTGTGAGGCTGATATGTGTGATTATCATTGGGGGGTTGTTGACTGTCCTGGTTGCCAAGAAGTGACTGATCACCCTCATTTTAGCCATCTTCAAGGGTATCTGATAACCTGATTTGTTTGGTGAACATTAGGCAAATCTCCATGGGAGGTTTAAAGGTTGGATTGATGTCTGTGTAAAGGTAACCATAAAGGAATTCCTCCATGATGTAACTTAGTATTTGGTGAGAGCTGCCTGCCTCTTAGCATCTGTGTGTCATTCCTGTGGTCGTTGGACATCTGTTCATTATCGCCACTTTGAAATTTTCAACTTCAAACGGACTTTGCGTTCTACAGTTTGATCATCACAAAAAGTACGGAAATACAATCGGAAATACCACTATCTGTTACACTTGCAGAAATAAACCAGTCTTGAATCTTGACTTGAGTTAGATTAGAAGGTGATGCATCATTATCGGTCTGGAATTTTGTTTGCGTATAAACAGTAACATTTTTGACAGCTTCCAAAGACACTGGTGTTTGTTTGGAAAATGAAGAAAGCTTGTAATATTCAACGATAATTTTTAGTATGTTAGGAATTTAGGAATTTTGTGTGGTACATTTTCATGAGTTCGTCCTTGTTTCAACAAGATCAAATATCCACACTTGCTCTTTTAAGTCTTGATATACACGTCCCAATGTCCATGAATAACTTTACCAAGACCTTTCCAAGGTGATATGCCAAGCTGTCAAAATTTGTGTCATGTTTTGCTGCACATTTCAGTTTGATCTCAAAGACGTGGGACAAATGTTTGTTTGAAAGATGAGACAGGTCTGACCTCTGCGATTGACACTGGGATAACAGTAAAGGGGATGTTATGATTTACAAGATGTGTCCCTGATTCTCCTCAATTGTTATGTTTTGAAATTGAAAAGTTCAGATTATTGCACTGAGAAAATGTTATCATGTGATACGTGACTTTGACATTGTCAGGACAGTACCAGTGTTGAAATTGAAACTAATGCATTTCTACAAAAACTTGGATCACTTTTCTTTTGAAACTATGAACAAGTTACACTTTTTCGAATAATCCTTTTGGGTGGGTTAGGATCAACTCCAGTGATTAATTGTAGAGATACTTGGTATAAGGAAAGATGATGAGGAAACTTAGGTTTCCACAGTGGAGGTACTATTTTGAAAAAAAAAATCTTCATCCAATGGCCAGATTGACTCACGTGTATCTTCATTGGCCATGGTTTTGGCCTTCATGTAGTGAGCTGACCAAACTTAAGGCACTGACCATTTGCAAAGAAAGGTGAACTGCTCAGAATGCATTTGCTTTGTATCATCTTTATGCAGAAGCCGTGCCTCCCAAAGTGATCAGTGTAAAGGCACCTCCCCACTTTGTGTCTTTAAACCACACTGGAGACAGATTGCAAAAACAGTGGGACAAAAAAAAAGAAGAAAGCAAATACCATTTGCGCATCTCTGGAAAGAACCCCGGAGCAATAAACACTTGTCTACGTGTAATTGTCGTTATTTCTAAAAATACACCAGCATGTGTCTCCTTGCACCTGCTTTGTATTACATTATGATTCTCACTTATTTGATGTGCCGAATGGTAAACAAGGGCAGATGGATGGATTGGCCGGCTATGATGTGTTTACCCAGCCTGTTTTAGAAGTGGTAATGCTTTAGAAATTTTATTTAGTGTTTTGATTAAATATTGCCTCGGCGAAATCCAGACCAGATTCAGAGTGAATTTCTGCTTGCCTGCAGGCATTTTATTTATTTATATATATGTAACAAAAAAAAGGGTTTTCCTGGTTTGTGGGAAATCGGTCAGTTGAACTGCAAAGCAAGGTTTCTGCACTCACAGATGTGCATGTAGTAAGAGCACTGATGGAAAAAGAGTATTGAGTACTATTGGAAAATAACAAGCCTTCCCAAAAGGGCTGAAACTCTCAAAGAACTTGAGGATTAAAAAAGGCTGTCGCGACCTCCCTTTTCCATTGCTTTTTTTTTTATCTAAAAAAAAAATTGTTGCATTTTGGCACCCACTTCAACTTAATTTCCTGGAAAATGGTTGTTTTTTTTTTTTTTTTTTTTTTTTTTATAAATCTACACTACAAATGACTTTAGGTTAAAAGTAATTCAACACTTACGTATGGTACTGCGGCTGTTCAGCAAGGAAACATGCAGACTGGCTCACTCGCCCCTGTGCTTGAAACATGAACAATATTTGCAGAAAATGTGTGCTTTGATTGTTCATGTACTTCTTTCACTTCCTCTTTGAAAAAGGTACCCGCCCTTCTACGATGACAACCCTTTTGGTATCTATGAGAAGATTCTGGAAGGCAAGATTGACTGGCCTCAACACCTTGACAAAGATGCAAGGTTCGTAGAAACACCTTACGCAGAACTCTAGATGGCACATTGCCAATTATTCAACAATAATTTTGTCGGTTGCTTTTTGGAACCTAGTAATGATGGACTTTACCTTATAAGTTGTAAATTCCCAAATATCTGATTGTGATTGCAGGGATTTGATCCAGAAGCTATTGGTAATTGACCGGACAAAGCGCATTGGCTGTATGGTAAATGGAAGTGATGATATTAAGAATCATGACTGGTTCAAAGAAACGGACTGGGATGCAGTCAGGAGACGTCAGCTCAAAGTAAGCAGAACTTAGTTTGAAAAAGAACATTCTTTTAATTGACAAGTTTCAGCTGTATTGTTTTTACTCTTCTCAGCTTTTGTCTGATTATTATGCCTTGCAAGTAGAAACATTTATCTTTGTAGATTGTGAGATATCAAGCTATGCAGATTAATTCTATGTGAATGTATCCTGATAATTTTCAAGATTTAGATTACTACAGTGAAGAGGTGAGCCGCAGCTGGATTTGAATATTTATTTATTGAAATTAATTTCAGTTAATGAAATGATTTAACATCGCACAGTCAAGACTGTAACTTTGTAAAATTAACCTTCAACATTTATTCAGGAGCTTTATTTCCCTCTTTATTTGTTTAACAGCCTCCAATAGTTCCCACGGTAACACATGATGGAGATACACAGAACTTTGACAAATATGATGATGACGGCTGGCAGTCATCTAAGGCAGTGACTGCTGACATCCAAGAATTATTCCGTGATTTTTGACGACGGCTTTGAATGGGCGCGAGTTCAGACAAGCTGTCCAGTTCTGATTCTCTGTATTTTGGAGGGAGTCGGAACTTTTGTTCACCCGAGACATCGTGTCCAATCAGTCACTCTCAGCAAATGATAAAATACTACCACAAAAAATGCACATTTGAGGTTGTGGACACCTATCCTTCCATGTTTGCTGACAACATAGTAGCCATTGCTATGTTTACCCAAGATCATTGCTACGGTTTCCAAGGGTTGAATTTATCAAGCTTGCAACTGCCTTTCCAAGCCTGTTCGAGGTCCAGCAGAAATTTAAACAAACATCGGTTGATAGCAGCAATTGCTCTGTAAAGAGGCAGGATAAACTGTTGGGTTTGCAGTGCCAAACATCGGCTTCAACGATGAAATATGTTTCAACTTGAGGCCAAACTTGTCTTCTGTGTGAGCATTAAGTGTGGTGTTCCCCACAAACATCACTTCTGAATTGACCGTTTGGTTTGACGTTGCTGCACAGAAGACAACGTTGTATTTAAGCTGTCAAGTGTGTACCTCCAACCAGCCGTGTCCAGAAATTCCCAATCCTCTTGTAATGGATGTGAGCAGGACAGTCCTCCATTTCTCCTCGAGTAACAAGCCTAGTTTCTTGTGTCAGTGATCCCTGCTCAGCTATGTGGCAGGGTAGCATGGGACATAACTATTGTTTTGGTATAAGATGGGTCTGGGTAGTACTGGGCACCATTCGTAGCCATTGGCACGGCGGTAAAATATGAGCTAAAGGCACATGAATAGCTTTCTTGTTCCCAGGGACACACAACTGGACCAAACCTGCAAGGTTTCATCAGGAATTCTACCAAGGCCATCCTTGTTCATCTGGACCACTTCTGTGCCTGATTTACTTGAACGGCCTTTCTCTGATCTGAGCATTCTCCATTAAGGCCTTACCTTACTGTACAGAATTTTAAACTCTGAGAACCTTGCTTAGTTTGCACTGAACACACATCAGTAAATACAAACGAGAGATTGTTGATACCTTAATGAGATAACTGCACTCTGTTTGACAAGCCATCTGTGCAGACATCGTCAAATAAATCAGCCCTTCCTGTTACCCTTTGCACTTGTGTGATCATTACGACAAGTGAACAACAACTTCCAGGTCACTGTTTTTTTAACTGATTTGAGATAATTTGTAAGTCGCCAAATTGTGTTATGTGGCCTATTTTTCCTCTCAAGCTGCTTTGAGTTTTATTGGTCGTAACTTTTGGGTTTTCTTCAACAATGAAAGTATTCTTCCAAAGATTTTGTATTCATTTTTTTAAATGTATTTAAGCCTAACTTTATTTGTCAAATACACAGCATGGTTTGTATGCTTAATTAAGGCCAAAAATGATTTTGGTTAAATGAAAGATTGTATTTCGTGTGACAAATTTTATTTTCTTAGAGATGTATCTTACAAGCTGTATCTTTGCAGAGTGCTCCTATATTAAATTAAGGGGGTGTTTTCTTTTTCTAGTTTGAAAAGCAATATTTCTTTGTATTTTAACCCACTTCCTTTGTTTGACTGTCGTTTTCCTCAAATGCCTGTTTGTGTGTGTAACCTGTTTTACCTCACTTAGTGTCCAAAGACGTCGTTCACAACTATCAAGCTAACTCAGAGCCGCACAAGCCATTTCAAGTCGTTTGTCAGATTAAAAGGTTTGTCAATTCTGTTTGCAATTGCTTTTTTTTTTCCAGTCTAAACTGTATTGGTGGTTTTTGAGCAGTTCTCATTTTCCAGCATTTCGTATTCTGGCTCACATCTTTGAGTTTGTACAAAGTGTCTGGCTTGAAATGATATTTCTGCACACATTTCATTCATATTCATCGTCATGAACTGCACTTCTAAACTATTTTCACCCCAGGTGGCCTATACTTAGGTTAACCCTGGACCTGATTTCATAGAGCCATTAAATGAAATCACAACTTAATAATTTAGCTATTGGGCCAAAAACAGCAATCAATCAATATTCATGTGACACTTTGGCCGGTAACTGTGCTTGTTGAGCAAAATTCGGCCCTTAACGAGACCTCGCTCTGCAATGGCTTTGTGAGAAATTAGTCACCACAACCTTAAGGCCAGTCATGGATCTGACTTGTATAGATATGTTGGTCCTGGTTCTTGGTCTTTGTCCCAGGAACGTAAAGGTCGGTGCACACAGTAATGTACCATATCAAAGATTGAGACAGGTTAAGCAACTTTGCTGACTGCACTATTTGTGAGCTAAGATGATTGATGTTGGAAAATCTGGTTTGCATCTGCAAGACCTGGCCAAGCTAAATGTTGCCAAGGCACTTTGTTACATGGGTGAAACTTGCACTACAGGTATTTAAAGAATTCTAGCCTGGACTGTAGTTCTTGCATAAGGGCCTGTGTTGACAGGAGGCAAGGCAAGGCTGAGGCCAAGGTCTTTTGGGACAGGGAATGAGTTATGGCAGTGTCATTAGTTAATGACAGCACATACATGTAATGTCAGTTCATGTCTGGCTGTACAAGACACTGACTGAAATACATCACTGTCCAGTCATGCTTCAGAAAGTCATTTGCTTCACTGCAGATACACGCTCTGTCATGTTGACCCTAGTTCACTGAGACATTGCATGTGTTGGTTTCATCAACCAGGGTGTCATTTTCTATTAAAAAAAGCTTTTGTTCAGTACAGTGTGATACTATCATCTTTTGTGACAGGAAAATTCCACAAGGTCCAACATTTGTTACCATTGTTCTGCGTCTTAGACATGGAATTATTTTTTGGGGGGAGGGGGAAATCAACGTACACTGCATCGGTCGACTCTCTCTCTCTCTCTCTCTGAAAGGGTACAAATAGTATTTTCCTGAGACGTCTGTAATTCCTTGCCACTGTATTCACATTTTCATGGTGTTGGTCTGTGTACTTTCTTCCGAAGGAAACAATAACATAGAAAGTGCAACTTGCGTCTCAATTAGTATCTGCTTTGTGAGGTCAAGTGTCACACATGTAATTTATACCCCTTGACTACCCAATCCAAAATTAACACATTTATTTATTTTTGCTTAGTTTTTAATAGTGCCAAGTGTTTCAGATTTTTTTTTTACAAAAACTCATCAACACTACGCACCTTAACAAATCAATTCATAAAGGGTGTTTTTTCCCCAAGGGATATGAAACTGAGATCATGTATCATAGGGCCTGTAAATTGTGGGAAGCCCGAAGTGATAATGTACTTATTCAGAACACAGGTTTTCCTGAACTGTTGCCAATATTTTTACTTTTCTAATTCTGCGTTACCATGGACCATCTCACAGAAATGACCACAAAGAAGTTTTTGTAACAAGGTAACAAAGACTCTTGGTAGGAGTGTTAAAAAGTTTAAAGATGGTATCCCATGGTACAGGTGGTAATCGTTAAGAGAAGGGCATTATGCTGGTGTTAAAATTCCAGTGAGATGGATGCCTGTGGCTTAACCAAATCTCCCTTGGGCATTTATGATATAAAAAAACAACCACTTAGTCACTATTCATTGTTAAACCGTCCAATTTAAATTTTGACACAGAGGGTATTTTTTTGTGTCTAAATATAAATGTTTGTTAAAATTATATTTGTAAGAGGTTTGTGAATTATTTTGGCAACAGTATTTTGTACACAAATTATCAACAGGATTTGCCTATGTGAACGATGAAGTACTGTGTGAAGATTGAAGAAAGTTTTAGTAATAAAATTGTTGGTTAATAGCTGGAAACATTGTGGTTTGAAGGGAAAAGTAGAACGTTTTATTTCTAAGAAGCATTGATTGCTTTATTTTAAACTTTTCAGAAACACAAAGATTATGTCTCCAGAGATTTTGGGCTACAGCTTTCATCCTCAGAGGCATAATATCTAATTATGAAGCCAGGTCCGAATTAATTGCCTGTGGATTGAAATCATGCAGGGGTCTATAGTAGTGGCTTCACCCTTTCCCCATAGAGTTTTTGTAATTTCAAGCCACAGCCAGGTGATTTGGACACGGCTTGAATTGTGGTTCCATACTTTCATAACTTGAATGCTGCAGTGGGCATGTCATTTGCTGTTTCTCAGCTTGAAGATTGGGCACCTGCACATTGTTCATCCAGCTTTTAGGCGTAACTATACCAATTACACCGGTGCTCTTTTTTACAATATGATCACACATGCTTCCTGGTACTCTGTACTGAAGCAAGTTCTTCCTGCCATGCGGCTTGTGGGGAAATTGCTATCTAAGTTGTATTGATTTAATTCCTAGAGCTATTTGGACAATTTTTTTCACTTCAGTAGTCTTCACTGTTTCATCGGTGCTGCAGACACTAAAAAAATTGGTCTTTCTCACAATTTTCAGTGCAAAATCTATCAAATAGTTACCTTTGATTAGAAAAAAACACAGGTGCATTTTGATAACTCATCCCCCCAAAATTGACAAAAATATTTTCAATTATCCTGGTACTATTAACTGGCATCACTGTTGGTGTTTCTAAATTGTAAATATTGTGTGTTGCTATTAGGATTTTTACAAACTGTGTGGCTTACACCGACATAGGATCAACTCCCAAACCGTACTATCTTTGGGACCGTGCCTTGTTGGATTATTATTGTGGTAAAGCACAATGCACATTTCAGGGACCCACTGCACCATACCAAATGTGTAGAATCACTTATGTAAATAGTATACTCAAAAGTGAAAATAAAAGGATGCCCATGGCAATAATGTATCGCAGGATACTTTTATTTAATGTGTTCTGAATTTCATAATAGGGTGAAATATTTTCACAAAATGTCCATGATATACGAAACTTGGACTGAATTCTTGCAAATCACAAGAAACTCATTTATCAACAAATTCGCTGTAAAAACACAGCAGCACAAGACTTCTAAGTTGCTAACCAAAATAATTTTACAAAAATATATTTCCTTTTGAAGCTAAAGTCAATAAAGCAAGCACAGCCTTACAATGCAGGAATCAACTAATCAGAAAAACAAACAAATGAAACAAGAATTGGACTTGGCCTTGCTGGGTGGAGAACTTCACAACCTTTTTGGAACACTTCCACAGTTTTAAATTATGATGAAAAAGAACTGGAGACCAAGTATCTTGTTTGACTTGATTGCCACATTAACACCATTCGGATGTCTCTAAATTGTTCAATTTATTGGAATCAACCCTTCTGCCATCAGTTCGGGGTATTTACACATATACATGTGGTCAATTTATTATTTTTCTACACTGAAGCTTTGACTGCCTGTTATGGTAACAGCTAGAAATGATGTCCGCTTACAGTAACATCTTGCTAGCAGCTATGGCCAATTTCCATAAACTTGTATGTCACCCTACCTGCAGCCAGTTAATAGACCGATTGCACCTGCTAAGTCAAGTGACCTACTGTGGGTATAGCAAAGTGTGTTTTGAGTGTTATTTACTAACAATAAAGCCGATTTACGGTATTTACCCAGCACATCAGTTGTCTGAGCACAGTAGGTTCCGTCTGCTTTATGTTTGGTGAATGATACTTATGAAACAATTTTCTTTTGGTGCACGCCCTGTTTGTTGATGTCTAATACCCACTATTGATCATGTGACTTAACAGGTGCAATTGGTCTATTCACTTCAGACATGACCAGACTGATTCTGAGTAAGTCTTCATCTGAAGTACCAACTATATCACGCAACTTGAATCTGTTGAAAACCTAAGTTTGGGTAAAGTAGACTCCTGCATGTAGTACATGCTGGTGGAGGGGAGCAGGTCCTATATTGGGGCAGAGCTTAACGGATTAGTCTATTAATGGCCTATTTGGCCTCCTACTTTGAAAATCAACCTGCTGCAATTTAAAGTGCATAATGGAAATGAAATTGCAGAAAAAAATTTCTATGTCTTAACTTATTTGGAAATTTATATACTTATTTACATAATCATTTCTTTTTCATAATTAATGATCAACTACAAATTAATCCAACCAAAGTGATAAATAGGCAGAAATTTCAGCAAGATGCAGGCAAAGCATAGTGCCGTAAAGAAGGTTGGACTTTTCCTTTAATTACTGAACTGTACTCTTTTCAACACTAACCTTCCCAGACCCTTCAAAATCCAACAAATTTTGGAGAAATTTGCAAGATTGAGAAAGGTGGAGCCCTGTCATAATTAGTTTAGACTGAGGTCTGCTAACCTTTGGAGTACAAGGGCTTGTTCAAGGCCTACCCTGGTACCATCGCAATGATGGAGTCCCCTTGGATTACACAAGTCAGTGGTACAAAAAAAATTAATAGTTTAAATTGCTGAGTACTCCAAGATTAATCAGCTCAGTTACAATGTGTCTAACAGTCCAGGCTGTGAGTGGCAATAACGTACACATTTAATTGGAAGCAAATACGGCGATTGTCTTCTCTGTACGTTTGTCTTATCCCCTGTAGACCCATTGGCAATAGTAATACAACTTCACCTACTGATAAAGCAAACAGACTATTTTCCCTTCCAGCCTCAGTTTGGTTACATTGGTTTCAATGGTAGAAAAGCAAGATGGCCGATCAACAATAGAGGTCTACTGGTGCTGGTATTAAAGTTAGCCGTAGCCCAACTTTCTGATGCAGCCTACTATTTCTTTCCAAAATTATGACTTCCAGGCCCACTAGCTGGCTGGGGGCATTTGGTTGCACATCAACTCAGGAACTTCTTTTTGAGAAATGAGACGTGTTTCATTTTCATGTGAGAATGCACAACCAAAGAGCCTTAAATGTGAATGTCTTTTACTACCTAGATATAATTAACCCTAACCCCCTAGGATGTATGTAAAATTGTATTGAAATTGGAAGATTTGGGACTGTTAGGGTTAATAGCTGATTGCTAAAATGAAATCACTTTCCATCAGGTACATGGCAGATCCATGATGAAGTGAGCCTGGCTGAGTACAAAGAAACAAAGAAGGAACAATCAAATGTAGACAACCTGACCCAAATGATCAAAATTAACAAAGAGTGATTTCTCTTAAGAAAACCTAGAAATAAACACAGGAGAACTCACTGAGTCTAAGCTTAATCAATTTCAAGTTGACTTTAAAAGTGCACAAGATTTTAGCCTGCATACTTTGGAACAGTGCACTGGAAACTAGCGTAAGTCGGAACTGCAGAACTATCTGGAAAATGAACAATTTACAGAAAACCCGACACTGAATCTGAGGTCCGAAGTCAAGACTCCAAAAGAGAGTTACAATCCCAAACCTGAAAGTCCGGTGTTGCGCCTATGCTAAAAATGGTATTCATTTTGTGTTCATTTCTTTCTACTCACTCTATTTGTCTTTTTCGCATTCGCTCTGCATCTCCCTCTCTCTCTGCTTGGCCTCTTTGATCTGTTTGCGTTCCTTGGCTGACAGATTCAAACCCAATCTTCGCGAGGTGTCAATGAGATATAGTAGGACGCAGAAGATAATAGCCACTGTATATCAAACCGAAATATAGAATGTTGACATCAAGAGAAAATCACTCCAATTCTTGGTCAATTCTTGAGGTCTGAAGCAAGATCTTTTCTCCAGAGGCATGGACATCCGCTCCATGATTCTGAATGAGATTATCACTGCACCGTCTAATGTTCAATAAGATGACACTCAGGTGAAGTTGGCTCAAAGGCTTGAATTCTGTCTTAGTTTCTGCTGATTGTATGCTGCGAGAGCTTTTGCATGTTTAATCTTTCGATACTTAAACTTCAAGGACATGTGGTATGAGAAATATGTCGGAAAACATGCGGTTCTCTCAAAAGTACAACGTTAATTACAGATTCAAAGCGCTCTGCCGAGAAGCTGACAATTTTTAGGCTACAAATCTCCGACAAGTTGGAGGGTGTCTTACCGCACAACATTGCACACATGAAGACTTCCAAAATTAGATAGCCGCTTCCATCAACAATGACGCCAATGATGATCGTCACAACGGCTAGACCAAGGTTCTGTATGGACTGCATACTGTATGTACAGAGACAACGAAACAACAGTTAACGTCAAGATGCTTCAACCCTAACCCTGACTCAAGTCCTTCGAAATTCCACAGGAAAGTTTGAGAGGATTCTGCAGGATTATGGAAGGCAGAACCCAATCAATGATGCTCAAGGAAAGTCTCAAAAGATCAATTGTCCCCCTGGTTTCCTGTACAATGGAATGTTTTCAAGGATTCTTGTCGGTACGTAGAGACAAATATTAGGGAGTTAACGTAAGATATTCCTTCTTTGGCTTCCACTGTTCCTAGAGTCCATAAAAAGATAAGGGATCTTCTTGAGGAAGGGTTTTAACTAAGAAAATACTCTTTGTTGACTTGTAGAACACTTCAGTGTTGATTTGTGAGACAAAAACACAAGCACTGGCTTCATGGGGTTGGCTTTACTGCGAAAAGTTCACAGCCTCCAAGATGACAAACTGTGCTTAACAGTTGATAGATGACATTTGTAATTTGCCAAGGATGATGAACAAGGTCTTTTTAAAAACATTGCCCCTAGGATTCAAAATTCCATTGAAAAAAGACCCAACATTTTAGAGATTCAGAGAAGATAACTCACAATCCATAGGATGTGCCAAGTTGGTGTTCTGGCATAATGAAAGCCACCAGTGGCCAAAGGGCACAGGCCAAGATGGAATAAGCTAGTCCCATGATACTCTAAAACAAAACAAAAAACAGAGCAAAAATGAAAACTATTAACCACATTTCATCGGCCAAATGGTTCAAGTTTTGTCAAATTAGTCAATGTGCTTTACTAGATTTATTGATCTGGAATGGTGTGGCAGGGTATAGACCTATATCATGGGGTAGCCATCTTGCTTTTCTGCCATTCAAAGCAATGTAACAAAACTGAGGCTGGAAGGGAAAATAAACTGTTCCCTTTTATCAATATGTGAAGTTGTATTACTGCTGCCAATGGATCTGCAGGGAATAAGACAACATGGCAGCATCATGATAAACAGCTATAGGAAAGTTTTGTTGCTTAACAAACTAGTCATAAGTTGTGAGCTGTATTCTGAAAGATATCATTGACCCTGTAAAAATCAACTACAACTCACCATGACCAAAAATGGAGTGATGAAGGTGAACGCTAAGGTTAAGTGGCAGCCGAGCGTGATAATCGTGCCTAAGATCACCCAGAAGATATTCCGTCCCGTCTTGTCAACAACAAAGCCAAACACCGGGGAAGCCCCAGCTGAGATGAAGTACACCAGACTGTTGACGATGTTTGCTTCAGCCGGAACCAGTCCGTACTTCTCTGAGAAGAAGACCCTGAAATTTGAACAACAATTTATTGTAAAGAATTGTTTAATATAAAGGTATATTTCTAAATCACAGATGCCATATCATAAAACAACAGATGTAGCTGCTTCCAATGCATTTGGAGTTCTTGAAATTCATCATGTTATAGAGATTGCTTGGTAAGTTGACATGGTATACCCCTCAATAAAATTTACGGATTTCAGACTTAAGTATGCATTTTATATCACTCAGTGCATGCAAGCTGCAATATTTGGTGACTTGTACTTTAATAAGGCAAGGACGAATTTCAATACCATTCACCCTACAAAAAAAATCCCGACTTGAGTTTTCCTCAAGTCCCGATAGTCTGCAGTTAGAGGAGAGAACTCCTCTACTGATGATGGTTCTCAATTTTCTTGGACACTCACACTCCAATGCCGATAAATGGAAAGACCGTGACATAGTAAAAGACACAGATGAGGAAGATGAGCCAGAGACTGGCCGGGAAATCCTTGACATCACGGATCTTAATCACCTCACCTAACGTGTAAAACAACAAAAAGAAAAAATACAAATAATGGTAACAGAATCAACAGGCTACACAGGGATTTCAAAGACTCTAACCATCCACATTCCTCCAAAATACACCAGAAGGGTTTGGAAGTTTTGGCATGAAAACAAACACCAGACTGGATGCTCCCTGAAAGTTTGAAAACAGAGAATGCACCAATAGCTTGCTGCACATTAGGCGATTTAGGACGATGCTGGAAAGTTGGTTGCATTATTGCCTGGAGAGATGTTTTCCTCAAATTGCTTAAAAGGAAAAGCTGCATTCCTTCATGTTTCTGCAGGCTCCAGGGTTACACTCTTAACATGGTCGAGAAATCCTTGCTTTCACAACCACAAGACTAAATCGGATTTTCAGTCCTATGGTTTTTGACGGCCAGCATTCAATTTACGCAGATGTGTCTTTGAAGTCTCTCAATGTTCTGTATGAAATTGCCAATAGAAATACACAGATCCAAAAATGTACGCGCCTCCACGGACACGGTAAGCTTCCTGACATGCCTTTGCCCATCATGTTACGTCACATGAAATATCTCTATACAATCAGTTTTTTGACAGTTAATGTCATCTAAAAACTGAAGAATCATTTCTGACAATTTCTACCAGAGCACAAACCTGTGCCGGCTTGCTTCCTGTTCAGTATTTTCTCCGCTCGGTAGTCAAGGATACCGATAATGATCCCACAAATGACAGAAAATACACACATTGCCACACCTTCACAAAGGAGACCAAAAAAGTATCAATTAACATTTGTTACAGACAGTTGTGTTTAAGAAATCTTTGTACATTAGACAAAAGCAATGTTAAACCACTACCAATTTAACATATCCACACTGCAATTCAATGTAGCAAGATACGCAGAACCTTTGTGCTGGAACTTAAAAACCATGGAAAATGAATTATGGACATGTATGCCTTGTCTTGTTTTTTTTACCAACAAGAAGAGTGTAACCAAGGCGTTTGTATCCAACCAGGTCAGGGTTGATGGAGTCGTAAATCGGCTTGTTGACATTCATATTCAGTGTACTGCCCTTGAAGGGGAAAAAAAGAGAACAAATTGAAGCATATCATTAACCTGAACCTCCTGGCACATTATGTCTTTTTCTTAAAACATTAACTGCTATAAGAACTTTACATTGGCGTAACCATCTACGAGGGCTACGAGGGACCACACACTGTCCAACTCTGCCATCACTGGTAACCACATCTGTTGCCTAAGAGTCCCATAAGACCAAGTGTGGCTTCTATGAGCCTCTGCTCCAAGTTAAAGTGCACCCTCGCTGACAAAAGAGAGAGAGGCTGGTAAGAAGTTTTCCAACCGGGCTCATGCACAATCTTGGTGCACACACAAAGACCGTACATTCCAACAATAAAATGCCAAATGCATACAGACCTGCACACCATGTGGTATGCGGCAAGTTCTCACCAAAGGACTGTTGTTTCTGGGTAAGAACACGTCCCTTCTTGTTCCCATTTAGAGCTGACAAAGAGCCAAAGCAAAAGACTCTACACACACAGCTAAAATTCTCCAGTGCTTAGCAAATCGGTCTGTCTGGCAGTTCCCATGATCAAAGTTCTAATAACACCGTACAATCCACTTACAATTCTGGAGAAGCTCAGCTGTAAGCCAAACACCATGTTTAACTCTTTCTCCTTGAACCATGTGACTGCGTAGGTATTCTGAGCGACAGCTAAATTCTCCCCACCAAGTCTACAAAAGAAACAAAAATGTAGTGTGCGTGATATACCAAGATGGAAATTTCTTCACTCACAAATAAATTCTAAACACTTCCACTATAAGTGTGATGACTTTGAAGTTTACATGGGTTGAAAGAAATTTTTATCGAAACACAAATGTGGATGACGATCTGGTCTCTTTCTGGGACATTACAATGTTGACGTAGGTTTACCTCCGCAGAGGGTGAAATCACTGTCCACACTGACATTCTTATCATCATTTCTCCTATTCGTTTGAACAAAAGTGGAAGACACTCTGTTCATAACAACAGCTTATCTAACCTTAAGGATCAAATGAGATGAGGAAAATTAAGCACTGATGATTTGGGAACCTTTTGTGTCTAATTTCACCCTCTACCCAAGCCTACAAATCAGGCATCATACTTTGACCTTCCCACAGTACCATATTCCCATCTCAAAATTTAACAGTTACTAGAATCATACTTGTACAACACAGTCTGACACAAAGGCAACAAGCTACAGCCACATGTAAATCCTCACCCAAAAACAAATCGCCCTGCCACCATGCAGATCCAGTTGTCAAACAGAGCTCCCAATGAGAAGATCAGCTGACAGTCAGAATGTAAAGGAGAAAAGAATGAACATACTCCTATTTTTCTCTTCGCTTAAATAAAACACACATTTTCCAGGCAAACAGTGCAATCCAAGCATACCGATATTTTGAAGTCTTCTCGGTTTGTATACTTTTGATTATAGGTTTTCCTTCATTTCATTTTTTAACAGTTGATCTGCGAAAAGTTACAAATTCAAATCATGAATACAATGTTTGAATGAACTTTAAAAAACAATATGTTTTTACCTGTCCAACAAGAACGAAACCACCAAAAACAAGTGTTCCAATTCTGTAGAAAGAAAAAAAAAGTATTTGACTGTTTCAGCTTTTGAGTGTCTCCTTGGTAAATTTTGAGCAAATTAAAACAAATCCACTAATTTCACTGCTAAAAATACACTCGGGAACGGGTACAGATTTTGTAGACGAATAACAATTGTACATAAAATAAATAAGACTATGTTCTCACCTGATGCCAAAAACTCTGTCTATCAGAAATCCTCCAAAGAAACAAAGTACAACATTTGGCCATGAGTAGAGCGAATACAGCAACACATAAGCAGACGTATCTATTTGCAAATCCTTTAAAAAAAGGAAAAGACATTGGGTTTTTTTACTTGAGGGTTATTAAAATTGAAGCTTATTTTACTGAGCCAGTTCTGAGCCTTTGTGTATAGCACAGCAAAAAAAATTGCTCCAAAAATTACTGACTTATTTTTTCTGACTCTGATATGGGTCAAAGTTTACGCTACTCACACCCGACAGAAATCATCCAAAGATATGCTAACCCGGCAGTTTAGTTAAACGACATAACTAACAACTAGTTTCTACATAAACAGGTTGCTTATATTTGCTTTGCTTTCATTTTATAATCATACATGTATATTAATAATCAATATATCAGACAAGACTGGATTATCTCTGAAAAAGCCAGTTGGTTTGACGATTCAGGCCCGGTTTGCCTACAGCGATGGTCCAGTGAGATGCTTGCATTTGGCAAGGAGACAGGACGTCCTCAGCTTACCTACTTGGCAGCGCTCCCAGAGCAGAAACAGCCGCCCCTACATTCTTCGAACGTTCTTCACAGAACGAAGAGGAAGAAACTTTTTGACCTGTTTCCCTTTGAAAGACATATCCTGTGTGGAACTTACTTCCTTTATCTGCTCTTCCAAGGCAGCAGGTGTGTCGTAACAGTAGTAACTTCCTGAATATCAAACAGAAAATACAGCAGAGAAAGCCAGCGGTTAAGACACTGCCAGATGATTTACAATTTGACAGATGTACAGCTACAGTCAAATTAGCCCCACTAGTGTGGCACAGACCCTCGCTCCACTCCATCCTTAGCCACACATCCGTACATGCAATTTCGTGTCAGTGTGGTGAAATCTACGGCACACCCTTTTTTTGCACACACAAATGATCCTTATAGTCTCTCCGCTTTGACCATTTATTGAATGAATTCACTCACGTTATTCTGGTATTTTCCATTCTTTTTGCCTTTACCCATTCAATCTCACGGTCTCACTCTCACACGCCATCTTTAAATGAAAATGAGTCTGTTGAACTTTACGTCCCTTGACCCCAGCCCACAGACAGCTGTTCCATGTCAAGAATTCTAGAACCAAAAAATAAACTTACCTGCACAATTGAGATTTCAGTTGTATATTAGATATGTCTTTACATGGAACAGCCATTTGCGGGACGGGGTCAAGTGACGTAAAGTTCAATGGACTCATTTTAATTTAAAGATGGTGTGTGAGAGTGTGACCTTGAGTTTTAATGGGTAAAGGCAAAAAGACTAGAAAACACCAGAACAACGTGAGTGAAATCATTCAATAAATGGTCATTTGAAACGGAGAGACTAAGGATCATTTGTGTGTGCAAAAAAATTGCGCCTACGATTATAAGAGGGTACGCCGAAGATTTCAGCGCGCCGACACGAAATTGCGTATATAGATGTGTGGCTGGACAGGAGCGAGGGTCCATGCCACACTTGTGGGGCTACAGTCAAATCATCACAAATATAAGACTGGAAGCAGTCAATATGTACCAGCATACTAGTCACGGTCCTGTCCATACCTGCAAACTGAGACACTACAGTTTTGTACCCATCCGCCATATGTTCACCACTAAGCATAAAAATCCCATCCCCTCCTTGTAGTTATATTAAATTTGAAGACAATTAAATTCAGATTAGGAAAAACCTCATCTGAGGAAGATCTGGCTTGGGTCATTTATCAGACTCTACGTAGTGGTTGACCAGTGTAACAGGATGTTACACATATTGCCTGCATGTCACCTCTTTTAAAATAATCTTCCACGGCCACAAATAAGTAAATAAAGTTGATTGGCTGATGACAAATCTTATAACAAAAAGATTTAGATCGACATACATGTATCACGCAAAGATCGGGCACTCACAAATATCGATCGACTACACTCAACATCCTGACAACCATGACAACTGAAACTTAGAGAGGTCAAACAGATAAAACTTGGACACGGGTATAAGGGGACCCTTTTTTAATTTTCAACTTACCAAAACTGAGAAGACATGTGAGCACAAGAATGAACGTGTACCGGTGCCACAGGCTTCGAGGATCGCATATTCTCCAAGCTCCGCAACCAGTCAACTGACCGGCGTACTCGACATCATAATCACCGTTCACTCCCCTTGGAACACCGCTCGACAGTAGGGGCGATTTCTCATTAATCCCCTCTACATCACTGTCATAGCCACTGTTTTCTGCCATTTCGATCTCGGACAAATTTGTGAACTTTTACATGTAGTTTATGGGCGAACTGAACGTCCGGTGTTAGGTCTTGCCTCTTCTGCAATCACACTACCCAAATTCGCCTGTCGGCCTCTCTTGTTATCAAACAAACACCTATAGTTGAGTCTGGGTACCCGATCAATAAAAGTCACGTGGGGATTTGCATTAACGACCTTTGACTTTGAGCAACATTTGACAGCGTTAATGAGCTATTGTTTGATTCAACATGCCACTTTCGGAATACAATGGTGTCCATGGTCTGCAATGGTGTTGATACGTTCATTTCAATTAAATTAAACCAGGTATTTAACAGTTCGATTACTGAATTAATTTGTTCCTTTGTTATTGATTACTAATATTTTCTTGCTTTAAAAATACTTTTAGTACGGCGCAGACCGGGCGCGGGTGGGAACTGGGCACTTAAGCGTTTG